TTCCCATTTAATCGTTTTCCCATAAAAAAAGGAAAATTAAAATTAAGAGTGCCCTTAACCAAAAATAGTGAAATAAATGGAGAGAGTCAAATTTTATATTAACATGTAAGACTTTGAATAAAAAGGTGTAAAAGGATTATAAATGCTGTATTTATATCCTTTAGTATCATGATAATATAAAATTTGAGTAGGTATCTCCATTTATTTCACTGTTTTTGGTTAAGGGCACTCTTAGTTTTAATTGCCTTAAAATAATAAGTATAATAATAATTTAAATCTCCCGCTCTTTCATAGTTCGTTCCTGTAGCCAACTAGAGGGCGCTAAAAGCGCAATCTCCCAACAGTTTACCCCGCGATTCACCACTCTCTAAACTATTATTCATTGTTCTGTTCAGTTAGACAGTTCAGTGCTGTTTTTGGTTTTATAAAAAAAAATTAAAATGGGACGTAAGAAAGGCACATATAAAACTAAATTTAAATATAAGTGGTATATCGACATATTACCGATACTTTATCCACTCCCTCGTTTATTTAGAATATAGAGGGCGGCACAAGCTAGACTCTAGGATGGCTAAATTAGGCAATCTTGCGACTAGTATACTACCTGTTAAGGCTGAACTGCGACTTTATTAGTCCAGGTATGCGACTACTCGAACTACTCCATCTTAATCTCCAAAACAACAAAGTGAAAGCCGCCGTGTTGTTGAATAAGAAAATGTTTCGTTCCTAAAATAGCAATTCCTGCTTTTTTAATACATTAGAGAACAACGGCATACGGTCGAGTCGGCCGCTGCTGGCACGTATACGTAGACGTAAAGAATCTTTTACGTGTATAAAAAATAAAAAATATAAGAAATGTGCATGCGTACGTAAACGATTATGTGTTTGTAGGCCGACTCGACCGTATACCGTTGTTCTCTAATAACTTGAAATATTTGACCCTAAACAACACGCGGAATTTTTTTTCGACTGCCAATAAATTATTCACATTTTACTAAAAAAAAATCAAGAAATTTGTTAAAACTTCTTTAATTTTAAGGCCCATTAGTATTTTTCAAAGTAGAAACAATACATTTATCAATAAAGTTGTTTGCGTTTAACTTTTTTGCCTTAGGTGACGAGTTACAGAGTTGGTTAAAGTGTTTCAATAATTATGATCTTCAAACATCCTCCACACTTAAATACTTTTGTTTTGTTTTCCTTTACTGCCATCTGGCATATGTCTCTAACTAAATCATAAAAATAACATTTTTACTATAATTATCCCAATTTAGGATAAAACGCGACTTAGACGCCATATTATTATAGTTTTGTATTTCTGTGAATTAGGATTTTAAATAACGTTGCAGTTTGTACTAAATTAGGCTGCTAGCTAACGTAGGTATCCAACGTCGTTTCGACCCAAAAATTATTCTCCAAACTAGTGCAGACTAGGGTTGGCAGGAGGTTGGGCCGACGTTGCGCCCCGACGTTTGGTCGCGTGACACAACGTTGTCCTGACGTCCAAATGCTGCTTGGGTCTTAAGTCCAGAAGTTGTATCAGTTACAGTTGCTTTAAATTCAAGTTGAGAGAAAACAAAATTATGTCGCTAACAGATATAGGTGTGTACAACGTACAATGCAGTCACTTCTCCGAGACAAGTTCACATGCTAGATGTCCAGAAACCTTCGTATGAGAACTTCGAATCGAGACGATCGACTTATTGTAAGTTTATCGCTAAAAATCCGGCGTTTGCCAGCTTTTCAAATTTCTAATAAACTGCACCTAAGGAACGTACATGTAAGTGAGTGGACTGTAAGAAGAAGATTAAATGAAGCAAATCTTATGTCAAGAAGGTCTGTTTCGAGAACACAACTTACTTTATATTGACTAGGACCAAAAGCAAAAGCATAGTTTTAATGCAAAAATTACGAAAAAATGTTGGTGTCTTCTTCATGGTAATTTTTGTTTTTTACATTAAGGTTTGTGGGATTGTTATGTTATATTGTTTGTCTTAAGCTGTTGAAATATGGTTGATTAGGAGTAACATATAAAAAAAATGATATCAGTATACTGACTAATTATAGTTCTAATTAAAGATTTTCGAGTATATAAATATATTACATAAAGTGCGTATCATGATTGACAAAATTGTGACGAAGAAATTGAAAAAAATGAATGAAATTTATTTTGTATTACTTTTATACAAGGTGTCCAAGAAATAAGTGCAAGTATTTTAACTGGTTTTATAGTTCAACCCCAGAAACACGTCTATGAGGTTTTCTTCGCGAAAAATTCGGAATTTTTTTTAGTTTTTAGTTAAAAAACATAATTTCTTCTTGCCTTTAGCTGTGTATTTTTTCTAATTTCGAAAAATCGAAACTAGAGAAAAAAAGAAAATAAAAAGTAAAAAGAGAAATTGTTTTACTTGTCGTAAAGTTTTTACTTTTTTATCTTTTTTCTCTATTTTCGATTTTTCGAAATTAGTAAAAATACACAGCTAAAGGCAAGAAGAAATTTGCCTTTAGCTGTGTATTTTTTCTAATTTCGAAAAATCGAAACTAGAGAAAAAAAGAAAATAAAAAGTAAAAAGAGAAATTGTTTTACTTGTCGTAAAGTTTTTACTTTTTTATCTTTTTTCTCTATTTTCGATTTTTCGAAATTAGTAAAAATACACAGCTAAAGGCAAGAAAATACTATTTATTAATATACACAAAAAAATAAAATTAGTTTTCAAAAAAAATCCGTTTTTTTCCAAAAAACTCAGCAATCCTTGAATTTTTTAAAACTTTTTTGATGGCATCTTGGTGAACAGCCCAAGGCGCAACTTTGCCCCAATTTAATCATCTTCGTATCTATTACGGTTTCCGAGATACCAATGCTCGTACCTCGAATTTGTAGCACCCTGTATACAGCTCTTTACAATTTTATATCGCAATTCTTGTTGATTTATGGTATTTATAAATCCCGATCTAAATTAAATTAATTTAGCAATTTCGAAAATGTAGTCGATACAAAGTTCCAGACATAACTCAAATTCTTCGAGCAGAATTTCCTGCTTTTCTCGACAAAGTTAAATTAAGTTCCAAAATTATATATTTTCCGGTTTTAAATTTTCTATTATCGATAATGCTGTATAAAGATGGGAAAGAATATATATTTCGTCGGGGTCTTTCAAGACGAAACTTGTTAAAAAGCCACCGTTATTAGAAGATCGTAATTTTCTCTTCCATTGAGCTTTTCACTTCTCTGATATTGGATGCGGTTTAAGTAACTATTTCGTTTTCCAGTTTTGTAAGTTCAGTCGGTTGAAAAGGTATCTTAAAAAAGTATGTTATTAAATAAGGAAATGTTAAAAATAAAATTGTTTCTTTTTAAGTATATTAGTTGCAAGGTGACAAAAGAGAAGTATAAATTGAAAAAATCAAAAACAAATTTGTCTATCTAACAAAAAATGATTAACGTTTTAGAGGTTTTATCTTCCTCCGATGAAAAGTAAAAAAAAAGAATATAGAAAACATAATTTTTATCACAGCTAATATTCTGATAATCCAATCTATACTAATATATAAAATCCTTAAGTGACTGAGATACTGATTAATCACGGTCCTGCTCAAACGACTCAACGTAAGAAGCTCAATTTTGGCATACAGGTTGATTCTAGGGTGTAGAGGTTCGATAAGAAGGGATTTTTCGAAATTCCAGTTCCAAGAGGGCGAAACCACCCCTCAAATATTACAATATTTTTTATTTAAAAAACGGTCAAGTTTCCGAAAAAACGCTTAAACACGTATATTTTAGTTTGTTTTTTACATATCTTAAGATTTTTAAAAAATATATACAGGGTGTTTCGAAAAATCTGGTCATTGATTAATCACGATCCTGTTTAGAGCGCTTGACGTAAAAAGCTGATTTTTGGAAAACAGATTGACTTTAGGGTGTAGAGGTTCGATAAGAAGGGATTTTTCGAAACTCGAATTCTAAGGGGGTGAAACTATCCCTCAAATATTAAAATATTTTATATTTAAAAACCGGTGAGTTTTTCGGAAAAACTCTTAAACACATATTTTTTATTTTGTTGTTTTACATATTTTAAGATTTTTATAAATTTATACAGGGTGTTTTATAAAATATTACCATTGACTAATCACGATTCTGCTTAAACTGCTTGACGTTTAAAGCTGATTTTTGGCAAACGGATTGACTGTGGGGTGTAGAGGTTCGATAAGGAGGGGTTTCTCGAATCTCAAATTCCAAGAGGGTGAAAACGCCCCTCAAATATTACAATATTTGTTATTTAAAAAACGGTTAGTCTTTCGGAAAAACGCTTGAACAAGTATAATTTAATGTAGTTGTTTAGGCTTTCGCGGCCATCGTTTGAAGAAATGTTGTTTTTCGGGTTATTAGGCCGTCGTCGTTTGGAATTGGTTCCTGACGTTTCGCTAGCACGAGTGGCTAGCATCTTCAGAGGTGTGTTTGCTCCGACTACTCACACTAGCCTGATGCCCCCGCGTCGGCGGAGGGGGCGTGGCTTGTTCCGGTGGTAGTTCTTCCGGAACTGGTCTACTTCTCTGTGCTGCTACTTTGGTCCTAGATATAGCTGGATGCCAAATTCTGTTAAGGTAGAAAGTTTCTTCCTTCCTGTTGAAATTATTTGGATGTTTGTGAATTTCAACAGCTTCCCTGACAAGACGAGGATGATATCCAGATGTTGTGGCAATGACTTGGGTGTCTTCGAATTGGATATTGTGGTCACCAAAAATCTCTTAGAGCATGTTCTGCTACGGCCGACTTCTCTGTTTGACCTAATCTGCAGCTTCTCTTGTGTTCTGTAAGTCTCGTTCCTACTGAGCGTTTGGTAGTTCCAATACATACGCTACCGCAGGAACAAGGTATACGGTAGATTCCTGCAGAGGATAATGGTTCCCTTTTGTCTTTGGCTGGTCTTAATCAGTCCTTTATTTTCCGGGTAGGTTTGTATATGGTTTTGATGTTATGCTTCTTGAGAACTTTACCAATCCTATCGGTGACCTGGTAGGAAGGCCTTATTAACGGTGTTTTCCTGTTCAGGTCTCCCCTGCCTAGGTGCCAGCGCCGCATTTATTTCTCTGTCTTTATAGCCATTGACAAGAAAGGCTTTATTTAAATGGCTTAGTTCCTCTTGGATGTGTTCCTTAGCACAAATGCGTCTTGCCCTATTTGCTAATGTTCCGATAATCCCCTGTTTTTGGCTTGGATGGTGATTTGACAGTTTGTGCAAGTACCGGTCTGTATGAGTGGGTTTTCGATACACTGTGTGATCTAAATGGTCGCCATTTCTCTTGACAAGCACATCGAGGAAGGCCAGTTGGTTGTTTACTTCGGTTTCCATGGTAAATTTTATGATCCAAACAACAAATGTATCGTCCACATAACGAAACCATACAGCGGGCTTCAGAATGGATGACTCTAGCGCTTTTTCTTCGAATCTCTCCATAAAAAAATTAGCAATTATTGGGCTGATTGGGCTGCCCATTGCGACACCTTCTGTTTGTTCATAATAATTGCCGTTCCATAAGAAATAGCTACCCGTCAGACACACTCGGAAGAGCTCCGCGATGTCAGGTGGGAATGATTCCCTGATTAGATACATTGACTCGCCTAGGGGTACTCTCGTGAATAGGGATACCACATCGAAGCTTACCATAATGTCAGATGGTTCCAGTTCTAGATCTTTTAGCTTTTGAACGAAATGCGTTGAGTCCTTCACATAAGAGTTTGTGTTGCCGACTTTCGGTTGAAGAATCGTAGTCAAGTATTTGCCAAGTTGTAAGTAGGCGATCCTGGAGCACTCACTATTAGTCTAAGTGGGACACTGGCTTTATGAATTTTTGGTAGCCCATAAAGGCGTGGTAGTTTATCTTCCGAGTTAATTAGTTTTGGTTTCAGATTTTCCGGGAGTGAGGAGGCCCTGATGAGTCTGTTGGTATTTCTGACAATTAAGGCGTGAAATTTTTTAAAAAATCATACAGGGTGTTCCAAAAAGTTGATTCTGCTTAAACTGCTTGACGTAAAAAGCTTATTTTTGGCAGACGGGTTTGTTCGAAAGTCAGATTCCAACGAGATGAAACTATCCCTCAAATATTACCAAGTTATGAAATAATATCGCCATATTGTTTTTTCTCATGCTGACATAAATGTGAGGAAATTTTATCCAGTTTGTATGTTAATGGAAATTCTTGCTTTGCTTTATCATCACCATTACAAATGATGAATTCGACGCCAACGAAGTCGCTGGTACACGCCAGTATCAAATAAAATTAAAATTAAAATTAATAATTACTACTAGATGACAGTTAACTAATGAGGTAAGACCAAAAGAGAGAGAGAGACTTGTATCGGAAGTATTTTCTAAAAAATGAATAAAAAATGTCTGTATAGGAAATTTTAACAAATACGCTTGAGCAATTCTTTATTTATATTTAATTTGATTAGAGAAGCTTCTTTAATTTTATATTTAGAGCTTTTTTTGCTGATTTTTGGGTTTCAACCCTAAAGCTGCATTCGTAATGAATTCGCTGGCCGAGTAGCACTTTCACACGCAACCTAGAAAACATGTTTACGTTTGTAATATAATTCGACGCCAGCATTGAAGTTCCACTTCGGCTAGCGCATTGCTTTGGTTTGATGTTTTCATATTTCAAGTTTAATATGGCGGTGGTGTTTACAATTTGTTTTTGTACTTGTTCTTGTAAATTTGATACGTTTCTCTTGCGTTTTTTTTCTAATTAAACACATTTGGAAAAAAATTACCGAAGAAAACAGTTTTTCAATTTTACTGCCACAATTGAGTTTTGCTACTAAAAAGAAAACAGTTATTGATGCAGTTCGACAAAAAGAGTTGTCCAGCAAGGCCAAACAATGGGGCATTTGTCCAGTGGTAATGGCACGAAAAAAGCTAAAACACGGGCATGCTTTGCACTATAACAGTGGCAAACGATTGACAGTTTTTAATCATCTGCTGATGATGCTAACGTGGTTAGCGAAACGCGCGTCCAGTGTAAAAGTAAAAGTGTTTTGGTGTATTGTTGTGATTTAGTGTTTTATTTTGTCGTATTTTTTGCTGTTGTAAAAGTATCACATTTTCCGATAATAATTATCACCTTTTCCTATTGAACTAAATAAATTTTGTGCTTCTTTGATGTCTTAAAACAGCAAAAAATATGAGAAGTGTCTAGCCCTAGCAGTCAACTATTAAGCTTGACCAATCAGGTTGGTTAGCGTGGTTATTTGAAGGGTGTTAATTCATTTGTGTTTGTCAAGAACTCTAACGTGATTGGTCGGGCTTAATAGTTGCCTGCTAGGGCTAGACACAAGTAAAAATATGACTCTATCAATAACAATCTATAGTCTGTCCAACGAGAAGATCCTTGACAGTGATAGATGTGTCTGTCATTTTAATTTCAAAGTAGTTTATTTTATTTTACAAAGAAATAAGTTGGTACAACTGGAACGCATAGCAGGAAATATTTAAAATTTGATTGACAAGATGACAAGTGATTACTTCAAAATATTGTGAAAAAAACTGTATAAAACTGAAAAAAATGTAATCGAGTTATTTTATTTAATAAAACCGGTATGTGTTAATACAAAACAAACAAGAATAAGACACTACATACCAAAAAATATAAAAAAGAACTATTTTTTACTTTCAAGCTTTATGAAACTACCCGCATTTATGATTATATTTATCAATATAACTTATGTACAAATACAAATTTGTAATATTCCACAGGAATAAATAAAACAACATAGGTAAATAAAACAAACTATTTTATTAATAATAACACTTACCAAATTTTATACCTTAAAGGTTGATTAATTAACTTTAATCTTAATTTTTGCAGTATTAAAATCCATTATTTACATATCGTGTGATGTCGATATTTTATAGCTACTCCAGTTTTTAGTATGTGTTTAGTTTGATCCTTCTACCATATACGAGATGCACTTATCTACGACGAGATGGTATACAAACTTTAACGATGGGGTGTATAAGACTTTCTGCCTGGGGAGCGAGTATTAACCATAAACTGTGCTCTGAGTCTACAGTTAATTTTCACTCGATTTTTCCTCCACTTGACTTGAAAGACACAAAACACACGTAATAATACGAATCAAAATGCATCATCTTCCAAAACGCAAGGTATTTAACAAAAGTTGACACAAAATTATAACCTATAATTTGGCAAGACTTTGACAAGCGTCAAAAATGACAAAAATCTAAAAGCGAGTTCATACGCATCGGCGTCCGTTTATCGTTCATCGTTCCGTCAAACCAATAAAATTGAAATACGATCTGTCATTTTTTAAATAAACCAATAAAACTGATTAAAAACAACAAGACACGACGTATGACGGATTTATATTTAAACCCATCCATAGATAACTTAAAATTATTAGAAACTTTTTTTAGTAAAATAAATAGATTGGTATGGGACGTCATCTGCTTTTCTTCTGTCATCGTCTGTCGAAATCTTACCTGAGAAAAAAAACAGAGTATATCAAAGATTGAAAACGAAATTATATCACTATAGAAACGCGTTTTGATGTATAGGAAAAATTGAACTATATTTTCATGTTTTCTCTAAAACGGTATGTGGAACGCTTTAGGATTTTGCGTGTCATCCTTGCGCAGGGGCCATGCTAATATTCTCTGTATCGTTCCAATTTTAGTATATATGTACCGTCGAAGCGAGTACTCGGAAGGTATGGAAATTTGGATAAGTATAAATGGGATTAACCATTTTAGAACAAGCAACATTTTTTATGAAGAATGCATTTTTCTCAAAATATCAATAATAAAGATGGCTTTCCTCTTGTAAAGACAATCCTGGAACATCATATGTAATGTAGAGTAGGTAGTCATGACTAGGGAATGCAATCCCGCACCAAAATCTCAATCCCGCAAACTTGCGGGATTAAAGCAATCAATCCCGCGGATCCGCAAAGTTACGGGACTGTAAACAATAATCCCAAACTAAACTTGAGCCTTTATTCTCTTTGTAAACTAAACTGACACTCATTTTAGTGATTAACTGGTTTACATTCCACGTAATACTATACGTAATACGACGTAATAATAGTGTACAAATTTGTCCAAGAATCTTTTTAACCGAAAATTCACAATTTTTGAAAAATCGAAATTTTAACTATGTACAATTAATCTGTATTGAAATTAGAAAAAAACAATTTGGTGTTTTTTTTTAAATTTTTTGTTTTAAGGAAAACACGAGGTTTTTTCGAAAAATATGCATTTATTGTCATAGATTTGGTCCTAAATGGTACAAAAGGCATTGTACATTTTGCATAGGCCCACAATATACTGATATAGCGTGTATCTTAAACTAGCTGTACAGAAATTTGGACCGATGTATACAGGGTGTTCAAAAAATATATTTAATATTAAATAAACTTAATGTAATTATAATTTATCTACTTATTTTATAAATAACAATATTTTTCTGATGTTGAAGTTTTTTAACTTGTGTTAGTTATCTGCTTTTAGATACACTCTATATCAATAATTTTTTGGCATATGCAGAATGTACAAAGCCTTTTGTACCATTTAGGACCATACGTATGACTAAAAATGCATATTTTTCGAAAAAACCTCGTACCCAAGCAGCATTTGGACGTCGGGACAACGTTGTGTCACGCGACCAAACGTCGGGGCGCATCGGTACAACCTCGTGCCAACCCTAGTCTGCACTAGTTTGGAGAATAATTTTTGGGTCGAAACGACGTTGGATACCGACGTTGGCTAGAAGCCTAATTTAGTACAAACTGCAACGTTGTTTAAAATCCTAATTTACAGAAATACAAAATTAATATGGCGTCTAAGTCGCGTTTTATCCTAACTTGGGATAATTATAGTAAAAATATTATTTTTATGATTTAGTTAGAGACATATGTCAGATGACAGTGCAGGAAAACAAAACAAAAGTATTTAAGTGTGGAGGATGTTTGAAGATCATAATTTATTGAAACACCTTAACCGACTCTGTAACTCGTTACCAAAGGCAAAAAAGTTAAACGCAAACAACTTTATTGATAAATGTATTGTTTCTACTTTGAAAAATACTAATGGGCCTTAAAATTAAAGAAGTTTTAAAAATTTTCTTGAATTTTTTTTTAGTAAAATGAGAATAATTTATTCGCAGTCGAAAAAATTGTTTCCGCGTGTTTTTTAGGGTCAAATATTTCAAGTTAATGTATTCAAAAAGCAGGAATTGCTATTTTAGGAACGAAACATTTTCTTATTTAACAACATGGCGGCTTTCGCTTTGTTGTTTTGGAGATTAAGATGGAGTAGTTCGAGTAGTCGCATACTGGACTAATAAAGTCGCAGTTCGGCCTTAACAGGTAGTATACTAGTCGCAAAATTGCCTAATTTAGTCATCCTAGAGTCTAGCTTGTGCCGCCCTCTATAATCTAAATAAACGAGGGAGTGGATAAACTATCGGTAATATATGTCGATGTATATTTAAATTTAGTTTTATATGTACCTTTCTTATGTCCCATTTTAATTAAGTTTTTTTTATTAAAACAAAAAGAGCACTGAACTGTCTGACTGAACAGAACAATGAATTGAAAATTTAAGATTTAAGGTTATGGTTCAATACAGTTGCAAAAAGGTAGTGACTCGACGTCCTACCAACGTAAGAATAAGGAAATCTAAACAACGTTGGAATTAGTAAACCAGACGGCGTTTGCATAACGTTGGAATAGGTCCTGAAACTGACGTCGGAACACTCTATATTGTCCAACGTTGTAACTACGCTGTCCGAATCACCTAAAGATCACTTAAGCAAAAAAGGTTACAAGACAACGTTTATTCGACGTCGCAGAAGCTTCTACTTTGCTGTAGTACTAGTCCAACGTCGGCACAACGTTATATAAACGTTTAAATTTATTTTAATACCAAAGGTAGGGAGCTAACTATTTTTTGTAACTAATCCAACGTTGTGTTTAGTAAACATGTGGTCGCAAGTCGTGAAAATGCTACTTGGGTAATTTTCTTAAAACAAAAAAAAATTAAAAAACCGCTAAATATATTTTCGAAAACCACATAGCATCTTAATCACAATAGATGCATCTAAAACCTGGTCCAAACCGCATCCCAAAATCTTTTTTAGTTCAAGAGATATTCAACTTTAAATTTACCCTAAAATTTTGCCTGTCCGGATAATTATGTCCGGCAGTTTATTTGACGAAATTGTCCACACGTACTTGTTAAACGCTTTTCTTCACTTACGCACATACGCCTGGATTCGGTTACCCAGTAGTAATGTGTCGGTCCCGCAAATCCCGCAGATCCCGCACGGTAAATCCCGCAAGTTTGATTCCGCGGAATTTCAGAGGGATCGGGATCCAGCATTTGCGGGATTGCATTCCCTATTCTGGACGACTTAATTGACAGCATGCCACGTTGTCTCACAGCTTGCATTGAGGCTCGAGGAGGCCTCATTTTTTTGCAGTATTTTTGTTTTAACACTAGCTTTTTCCCCAATAACATTTCTTTGAACAACAAACAAGGTATTGCATAACTAATCACTGTTTGGTGTTCGGCGACACTGAAAATAAAACAATTTACGAAATCAATGATTATCGTCTGAAACAGGAAGTCGCAGTAAAAACTATCGCAGTTGCCTAATTCCCACTACAAAATTCAATTACTATAGCAGACAACTGCTATGTGAAACTGCCGCTTTAGGCAAATTTGTTTGTTAGTAAATAACTGCTGACAAGCTTGTCAGTGTTTACAAAAAATAACTAGTTATTTTGTAGATTTTCTTACAGTCCAAGTGGAGAAACATCGATTGGACTACTTTGAAAAGGTGAATTTGCCACAGAGGTATAGACATTTTTTAAGAAAATTTATTCTGCCTGTTTATGCTGTCTATGTTTGCAATATTTTCCGTGCGATAGCGAAATGGCCTCTAATTAAAGCCGAGTGATAACAGCTTATATAAATGTTGAATTTGTCACGGGAATTTATTAGAACGTCTGTGCAGTAACAAAAGGGCGTGGCAACAGCCATAATATATGTCACGCGTAACCGAGGACAGGGTCGGGTTTGTAGCAGTTCACGTTTTGTTACCCATTTCTTTGCGGTAATAAATTACCTTTTATTGCGCATTAAACTATAAATTAATTACAATGGATGATAAACTAATAACTTTTCTAATCATATGTATATCAGAGTCAGTGCTATAGAAATTCCTTATACACTCAGCGGCACATAAAACGGGTACCTTAATTAATTATAGGTACCTACCTATATCAAATGTGTATTTATATTGTTACGTTTTTCGTCGGTTCCGTGTGGATAGAAAGTCACAATTTATTTAAACACTATTTATTTAACACTAATTAACAAAAACAATAACAATAAAAGACTTATAGAACTATTTACAAACGATTTATAACTAAGAATTTATTTTGAATTTTAGCGCGTCAACTGCACTGGTATATTTATAACTGCCCTCTCTAGGCCACTGCCGCCGGCTTTTATACCTACAGCAAAAGAAATCTAGAATAGTCCATAGATCGTTAGGTGCGTAGAGAAGGTTTTCGAATGTTCTCGTATGTACTAGTCCATTCCAGTGGGACTCGATTCTTCTCGAACGAATGAATCATTGCGGTGTCTATGCGATGTTAAGGTCATCCGAGGGCGGGCCATATTGTGAGGTTAGGTCGAGTCCACACCGGCCCGCAACAATATTTAATAATGGAAAATAAATTTCTTGCAGTTTTTAGGTATATAATAAAATTATATAAGAGTTTCTTGCCTTGAACTGCTAATATAGAAATTAATTCCACGCTGTGTTCGACATAATGTGGATCAACCTGCTCTCACTACCGGTTTCGGGGCCCTACCCCATCATTAGGTGAGCTTGGGTCATTTCCACAATATGTCGAGCATAGCGCAGAGTATATAAACACTTGTCGTAAAGTAGCGGTAATATATTAAGTCCCGCATCGGCGAGATAGCGGCTTGCGTGCAATGGTAGTACTTTCGTACCACCTTTCATACTCTGCGCTGTGCTCGACATATTGTGGAAACGACCCAAGCTCACCTGATGATGGGGTAGGGCCCCGAAACCGGTAGTGAGAGCAGGTTAGATAAGGCCAGGATATAATCAGGATATTTTCATTGAACGAATTGAAATGATTCGCATTGAACGAAAAAAAAAAATCGATGATGGTGGCACTGTTTTATACAAAAAACGACCAGGATCAGAACTAAATCAGTCATCAAACGATCTCAAATTACTAAAAGCACTTGGAAGAAAATTATAATAAATGCATGGAAAAAAACTAACACTTAACCTAGGGTTGGCAACTTTGAAAATAAAAAATACGGGCGAGAGGATAAAAACAGGCACAGGCGAAACATTTTTGAAACGTCGCTCAAATGTCGAGACTTTACCAAAAAGTTATATAAACGGTATGCGATAAATATTTAAAACAAACAAAAATATTTATACTCAAAACTTATTAAAATAAAGCAAACCATTGTCAACAAAACTTTTTTTCAAGACATAAACTAACAGTAAGTAAACATATAATTACATAAAAGACACAGATTAACAATTCTTTAAAGCATTGTGGCGATAAACGAATATTTTTTAGATTTTGAAGTTGGTATGCAACAAAGTTTTCAATACATGAGAGAAAAGAGGACAATCAGATCAAA